GAGGTCAGGGGCTGGGGAGATGGTTCAAGATCATACACTGCTCTTCCAGAGGACTCAAGTTCAATGTTCAATCCCCAGCACATACATCAGGTGGTTCACAGTTCCAGCTCCAAGGGGGACCTGATGCCTCTGATCTCCATCCTCACACACACACACACACACACACACACACACACACACACACACATGCACGCATGCACGCATGCACACACATGCATGCACACACCCATAAGTAGGCATAATTAAGAATAAAATACATCTTAAAGAAGAAAATGACTTGCTTAAAAAGGACTTGCTTAAGCAGCTAGCATTCACTGAGTAACTCCTGTGTGCTTAGCTTTCTGCTAGATAGTGTGGAAACCACACAGTAATGTCATGAGCAGCACTTATGGGACCACGTTTTAGAAGAAGAGGCATATTCTCACTTATCATTACCAACGCAGGGTAGCCAGGTGTGGTGGCTCACACCTGCAATCCCAACATCAGGAAAGCAGAGGATCATTGCACAGTTGAGGCCAGCCTGCTTCATAGTCAACTCCAGGCCATCCACGGGCCACCAAATGAGCCATCTTTCACAAAATAGACATCAATAATAGACACAGAATAATGTTCGCAAAGCACCAGTTACATACTATAGGCCATTACTTCATTGGAGGAAGAGAACTCAGGGAATTGAAATAATCAGGGACAGTTCATGCTTCCTGAGCAGACAAAATATGGAGCAAGTTCTACTTGATAGAATTAGTGGGGCATTATTGAAGGGAAGCAATTTGAAGAGATACTCTTTAGGACTGTTCACAAGGTGGTCAGTAGAGTACTCTGAACAGGCTTCATGCTATCCACCATGCAGAAAACCAGGCATTGTGTAAGATCAAGTGTCCTGGGACACTTGACCAGTCAGTGTTGGCATAAGGACAGAGGCTACTCAGTGATCATCTGGGAAACCCAGGCTAGCAGGGCAGAACTCCTGAAGCTTGGAAGAGATGAAGAGCAACAAATCAGACAATTAGAAATAAAGTGTCAAGTTCCAGTTGTGACATATCTTTTAAGTTTCCCTTGTCACCACATTCTATAAAGTAGATTTTAAATTTTATTATGGATGTCAAGGAGACCTCTCTGAGAAAGCAACCTCACTCCCACTCTGAGGACTGCACAATGCGTAGTGTTATGAGTTAGGGGTTCAGGCAGAGAGATCTTGTGTCTCAGGAAGTAGCTGGCAAGATGGGAAGACCTGTGAAGCTGGGCTTGTGGGTGAGGGATGCCTTTCTAGTATGACATGAGACTGGACAAATTGCAGGGGACTGTGGACTCTGTTAGACAGGAAAGCCTCTGTGTGTGTGTGTGTGTGTGTGTGTGTGTGTGTGCATATGTATGTGTATGTATAGACATACACAGAGACACAATGGTTGTAGTACAGAATTGATTATTGATGCAGATTGACTGATAGGAAATCACTGAATGTGTTGAGGCATGTCAAAGGCAAGGGCGGTTGAGGCTGAGAAGTACCTGTCCACTGAGAGCTATTTAGGAAGTAATATGTATGAGACTTGGTTTCTGGCTTGCACTGAGTGAATGCAGTGACAGTTAATGGCAAAGAAAGCACTATAGGAAGCTCAGGCTTTGAGGTGCTTTAGTCACTGTTCTTGCTGCGTTTACACAATGCCTGACAAGGCCACTCATGGAAAGAAGGGTTCTGGATTGCAGTTTGCAGGGGCACAGTTCATCATCATGAAACAGATGATCACACTACATTTACAATCAGGAGCCGGAGAGAGATGAAATGTCGGTACCCAGCTAGTTTTCTTTTAGCCATGAAACGGTGCCTCCTGCATCCAGGGTGGGTATTACCTCTGCCGCTGAGCTTCTCTAGAAGGGTCCTACAGACACACCCAGAGGTGTGCCTCCCTGGTGATTCTAAAGTCGGTCAAGTTGACAGTGGAGGCGAACCATCACAGGAGGGAAGGTGTGAGATTCGTTTTGGACACTGTATTTCACGGTGCCTTTGAGACACTGAGGAGGAACTGGTGTTGTAGGTCTGACACTCAGAACAGAGCTCTGAACTGGCACTAATGAACTTTGACCCTCCACCTAAATGTCCAGTGATCTTCACCAAGCTGCATGCAGGTGGTTACTATAGCTGCAGAGGGGTGGGTGGGAGATGGCTTAGGGGAGAATGTAGACTCAAGTATATATGGGTGCTATAACCAGGCCTCAGGAAATCTGGAAAAACAGAAGGTCAGTGGGGGAGGAAGACTTTGCCAGGAAGTGTGGAGGTTGTGTTTGTGTAGCTGATGATGGACACTAAACTGCAAACACATCCGTGGTTTGCTTAATGGGAAGGCTTAACTCCAGCCCATGACACCAGGAGCTGTGGCAACATCCTGTTTCTCGGAGACTTCCGTCACGTTTGCACAGTGGCCACCACAGTGGAGGTTATATCCTCACAAAATCACGTCTGAACCAGGCCAGTCCAAGTCATTAGAATCTGTCTGCAGTGAGAGACACGCGTTTGAGGTCAGTGTGGGCTCACACAGTAAGTTCCAGGCCAGCCTGAGCTCTATAGTGGGAGACCCCGGTCTCAAAACAGAAAGGAAAGGAGTGGAGAGTCCCAAAAGGTCAGAGACAAAAACAAAACACCAAAAATGTCCCATAGCCACGTGTATCTCCAGTGGTCTGAGAATGGCCGTGTACTGGCAGGTTTCTGAGAAGAAAGGACATGTTGGTCATCGGTGGAACAAGAGCAGTGGTGGCCACCACAGGTGACAGAAAGAAAAGGGTCATACGGTGTCATGAAGCCACAAGGAGAGAGATTTTACAAATAGGGGGAGTTCCCAATGTTTCTGAAGTCAGGGAAAATTCAGATGAAACGTGTCTGTGGGATCTGAATGACACAGAGATCACCTGAATCATAGTCATAGGATTTGAATGACACAGAGGTCACCCATGCATAAACTTCAGTGTTAGGATGGAACTGGAAGGTAGTTTATGCAAAGAACCACACACTCATCTACCTAGGATGGATGTTGTCCGTTGCAAGGGACCACAGGCAAGCCAAATAAGCTTACTGCTGTGCAGCTTTAACTGGTACCCTGTAAAAGACCCTGTTGCAAAGACACCACACATTCTGGTCACAGGAAATGAGAAATCAGGTTGATACTGACTATGAGGGTCCCTCTATCGTTAGCTTTTATAGTGCCAGAGGGTGCTATTGTGAGCTGCTGGGGTTAAAATCATCAACGGTCTTACCCAGCTATGAGCCCTGTGAGCCACAATAATGGGCAAGATATGCCCATGGGTACAACACTGGCACAAATATTACTGAGGCAACATGCTGCGTTTAGACTGAATTTAAGGCCCAGGACACAGGAGGAAATGCATGCCTGGTACTGTAAAGCAGGCTAATAACAGTGAATGATTAGGGAACTCCCAGGCCCCAGGCATGAATCTACTACTATTATTTTGCTAAATGGACATAGTGTCATATTATCCTAAAATTCATAGTTCTATACCTATAGAACAGAGCAGCTCTTAGAAACCAGGTTTTTGGTGTGTGTGTGTGTGTGTGTGTGTGTGTGTGTGTGTGTGTGTGTGTTGTGTTATAGATGGTGGGTAATGTAGAAACTCACAACTGGTGGAAGTGTAGAGAGCAAGTGTCAAGGGAAAGCTCAGCAACAAATGAACATCCATCTATATCCTCCTCCCTCCCAAGGCTCAGGGACCATTATGGAAGAGGGACAGGAAAGAGTGTAAGAGCTGTAGGTTAGGGAGGACTGGCTTGAAACTGTCTTCTGGACTGCATTCATCAACTCAACAGATTAAGCCGGTTGTGCTGGAGAGATGGCTCAGTAGTTAAGACATCTGCTGCTTTTGCAGAGGACCCAAGTTTGGATTTCTCTGCACCCAAATGATGGATCACAATTGCCTCCAGTCCCGCAGTTGCCTCTGACCTCCTTTTCTGGCTTCTGTGGGTATCTCACACACACATGGGTTACATACATAGATACATACATACATACATACATACACACATGCATACATACAACACAAACACACACAGATGAATCTTTTTAAAATCCAAGTCAGCATTCTAGTACGGAGGGGTGAAGAACCCATAATGGAGAAGCAATTGACCACTGATGGTTTCTGGGGAGGGAGAGTCAAATTTTTAAGAGTGTGGCTCCTGATAAGTTGACCATGCTTCACTGGATTGCCCCACACCCATGAGTATATAGACAGCAAAACTGGACTTGTAGGACTATTATGAAAAAATGGAGGATATGAAGTTGGGAAGGGATTGGAAGTGAGGGGTTGGCCTGGGAGGAGTTAGGGGGATGCGTAGAGGTGACTATGATCAAAATACATTGTATAAAATTCTCAAAGGATTAATAAAAAGCATTTTACTTAAAACAAATTATAAAAGCCAAAATGCAAATCTCCTATAACTGGGACTTAGTTCCAGCCAGCAAAGTCTGCTGGGGGCTTCCGAGGTATACTCTTTCTTTACAATGAGAGAATAGGTCTGTTGGACAAGTGGTAAAATGCTGCTTTAGTCCAATTCAAGTGTTGTCGGTATTCTTTTCATCCTTAGGCAGGCATGATAGGAAAGTCAGTCTGAGTTTCCTAACTGCAGCCTGGTGTTGTGTGTGGAGCATCTGAGAAAGAATGAGTTCTTTCAGAAGCATGAGTTTGTTTATGACCTCATTTGCTGAGGATTCCCCCTCCCAGGTAGTCCTTAGCTGCATCAGGCCAAGTCTGTATTATATAAGTACAAATTGCTAGAGACTTCTAGTATTTCTTTTGTTAGTGCCATTTCGCAAAGTATTTTGAATGGCTTTGAAATAAAGCTTGGTAAAGCCAAGGGCTGATACGATTTCTGAAAGTGTGATACTTTCTAATTTAATGATTAAAGTGAAAATGAATACTGAAGTGATTTATTATATCTCCAAGGGTAATTTTCTGGTATGTACATTTCATTATAAATTATATTTTCTTCCTTACAGTGTATCATTGTCAATTATTGGAATGCCTCATGAAATATAAGCAAGAAGTCTGGAAAGTAAGTTTTGGATTAAGACTGATTCATATTCACTAACTTGATTTATATAAATTGTATATTACAACTTGTCTTGATCATTTATACCTGTCTTATTATTTTGATGTGGTAAACCTGTTCTTTATTTTTACTGGTAAAATTATCACTTAGAGCAGAAATGAAACTTTAAGAACAGGGTGTCTTGTCAGAATAGTTGAATGCGTCTTATTCATTGAATTAGGCAAATATATTGCATGACAAGTATACTTTTAATTTGAAATTGCTTGAGAATTTGTCTTTTTTTTTCAAATAGCAGCTATGAATTGTTAAGAAATGTGATTAGGGAAACATTTTTGTTTTCAGACTCAGTGTTTGGTATGTGTGCATACACTGTTGTAAACATCTCTTTTGATTTGAATCTCATTAGAGGATTAATGGGCAGTGCACTTTTGAACTCTCCTTGGGGGCATCATTTGCAGGACTTATAAACAGACACATGAATAAGTGATGAAGATGATGTGCTACCATAATTGAATCTGTGAAGTACACCTGGGTGATGGGATCTTGGGAAATGGCCTGCCTTAAACTCTGCATTAGAGTTTCTCCTGCTTTGTAGCATTGGGTGCTTGATCTTTGTTTTTATGCGACGTCGTGGAGTCAGAGTGTCTTCCTTCCTCCCACAGGACCTTTTGTATGTGATTGCATATGGGCCTTCACAGGTGAAACCCCCAGCGGTGCAGATGCTTTTTCACTACTGGCCCAACCTAAAGCCCCCTGGGGCAATAAGCGAGTACAGGGGGCTGCAGTACACAGGTAAGAAGACAAGAGCTCGGTTAGACATGATCACAAGTCCTTTCTGACACTGGTTGAAAAAGAAGGCTATTAGTCAGGCACTGTAGTGCAGGCTGTAGGGGAGGCTGAGGCAGGAAAATCAGCTGAGCCTGGGAATTTGGGAACCATCCGAGGCAACATAACAAGATCTCATCTCTTAAGGTAACCAGCAGTTGTGTGGTGGTGCAAGTATGTGGTAATCCCAGCCCCTGGGAGATGGCGGAAGGAGGATCAGAAGTTCAAAGTCAGTCTTGACTACATATCAGGGCTAAAGGCATCATGAACTCCAGGAGAACATGTTTCAAAACAAAACAAAACAAACAAACAAACAAAAACCCACCTTAATCACATCCATTAAAGCATTTAAGACATCATAGCAGATTGCCCAAGGCCCTATCCCAGTTGCTTCCCAAAGGGCTGTATCTCACTGCTAAGATTAATTACAACAAAACCACAAGTGACCGCAGCAAGACTGCAGACTTGCTGTCATCTAGCAGAAGACCCAGCTGCCCAATTCTGTTCTTGTGGAGGCATGGCCATATTTCCAGTGTTACCAGAAGAGTTCCAGCACAACAATGAAACAGTAACGTTAAATGCAATGACACAGCCGGCCATGGCAGCCCACTCCTATGACCTCAGCACCTTGCAGGCAGAAGTAAAAATCTCTGGAGTTCAGGGCCAGCCTGGGCCACATAGTGGGTTAAAAGTCAGGTTGAGCTATATGAAAACCTTCTTTTAAAAAATAGTGACAGATATAAACCAAGAAACTTGCAAAAAAAAAAAAAAAAAAAAAAAAGACAGACAGAAAGACTGACAGACACAAAGTTCTAGGTTGCTGCTTATACATCATAAAGTATGAGAAAAATCCCAGTGCTGAATGGAGCATCTGATGTCCACACACACCTCCTCTCGACAGTATTATACTTACGCTTTACACTGTGGGAGGTGCATTCCAAGTGGTAGCAATGTTAATGTAGGGACGCTGGGCAGAGAATTCTCTAAAGTGTCTTTATTGATATTTTGTATTGATAGTAGAGAGTGTTTCATTGTTGCTAGATGAATAATTTGAATGTAAAAAACAGCAAATACTTAGGATGTCAATAGAGCAAAAGTGAAATGGCTGAAATATTTGACACTGACCCTTTTTAGTAGGATTCCTACGCAAGCATCAAACCACTCTGGTGCTTGAATGGGTGATTGATGCCAATGAGATCTACTTCTGTGATAAATATTTGATGAGATGACTGTTCTAGACACTGTATTTTTGGTGTTGATACAGGAACCAGCACAAAAGCAGACCTCATTAAATTGAATACAGCCTAGATACAGAATTCATTTTATTCAGCAAATATTTATGGGGTATCTGCTGTTGGCCAGGCATTTCTCTGTGCATCAATGAGAAAAACCAGACAGCTTGTAGTCATTACCGTTTTGGAGCTTCCAGACTAGTCGTGGGGAAATATACAGAGACTGCCTTCTAGGGCACTAGCGCTAAGGTAGAGCTAAGAGGTCTGTGGGGATTGTGGGAGGGCTCCCAGCTCATCCTGGTCATAGACAAGTCTGGGGGAGAGGCATTTGTTAAGGGAGGCAACTGAGTAATAAGTGCATAATTAGGCATGAGGAAAATATGAGTTCATAGAGGAAAATATGAGTTCATAAACGTGAGTTTAAGGTAGAAAGAACTTCAGGGATGGTGAGGTGGACGCAACAGACACCACTTGGTGGCATTTAGGAACTGGAAAATTACAAGGCATGAGGAGGCTACTGGAAGGCTGGCTATGCCTGTGAAGGAGTTGGAGTTGTTCGTTTTGTTTTCTTTTTTTTTAACAGCAAAGGGGTTCCCTATGTAGGTTTTGATGAGACTTACTGCCTGGAGCATCCCACAATCTCAAACACTGTCATGTCTACTTATGGGGTGACTGAAGATTCTAGCAAGGACCAACCAGCACATACATACTTAGCATTTGCATGCTAAGATCAGAGCAATCCTTTCTCGTCTTCTTGACTGATGGAGACATAGTTGACTGGGGGGGGGCACCACTCACCAACCTGTCCTGTAGACATGTGTTTGGCTTCCCTTTGTTCACTGCTGAGTCCCAAGTGATGCTAGTAGCCAGGCACCATCCTCACTGATAGGCAGCTTTTCTCAGAGTTCCCACTCTAACAGGCCGCCAGGGCAACAGAAAGCCATGGGGGAAAGGCATCATTGTAGCCTCTGTATTACTGTGCATCTGGCACCAGCTGTTTGTTTGGATGTTTTTCTTACAGCTTTGTTGTACCTTAACATTTCCTCCTTCCATGTCAATCTGCTGGTCTTCACATTCCTGTCTTGTTTAGGCAGCCATATTGTTGAGATGTAGCTTCCCTGCCATTTCTAGGAGATACAATCTCACAGCAGATTTTGAGTCCTCTGTCTCTTACAAGCTTCCATCTCCCTCTTCTGAAATGTTCCTGGAGCCTTACGTGCAGGGGTCGTATTATACTTGTATTGGTTGAATAGGCTCCTCATGAGCCTAGTTCTTCGTATTTTGACCAATTCTGTGATTGCACCATCTGTTGGAAAAGAGAAGTTTCTTTGATGAGTACGTGCTACACTTACCAGGCAAAGGGGTTCCCTAACCTGTTTTTACTTTTCAGTGTGTATGTGGTGTGCATGTGAGCGCCTGGGTGTGCATGTGAGCGCCTGGGTGTGCATGTGAGCGCCAGGCATCAATGCCAGATGTCCTCTTCTCCCACTCCTTACTGTCTAACATGGGAGTTTCACCGAACCTGGATGCCGCTGGTAGATCGGCTGCCCAGCAATCCTGTCATATCTTTCTATTTCTACCTCTCGGCACCGCGGTCACAGACACACGTAGCCATGCCTGACTTTAACATGCGTGCGGGGGAATTTCAACTTGACTCCTTGGGTTTATGCGGCAAGCACTTTATTGAAGGAGCCATCCATGTCCCCACCTTTTATTACAAAAATGACAGAAGCTGGAGAGAAGGCTCAGCAGTTAAGAGCACCAGCTAGTCTTCTAGTCATAACTCCAGTTCCAGAGGGGCGTCTGACACTCTTTTCTTGGTCTCCGTGGGCACCAGGAGCACACGTGGGACATAGCTAGACATTTAGGCGAAACACCCATACAAATAAAATGAAATAAAGCAAAAGAAAAATTATACATTGATTTGTCTTGTTGACAACATACCAAAGGGTAAATGACTTCGGCTTTGTAGCAAAGAACGTCACCACTGTCACTTAGTTTCCATCTAACTATGGGACATGGGTGCAGTCTAAGGTCACAGTTCCAGGCCGAGCAGAGAGAACGGGAGGCATACAATAAGGCTAAGCTTGCTCGGGATTACTGGGCATCTAACCCATGTTAGTGCTCTTGGATTTTGAGATGTGTATGAGAAGGTTGAGCCAGGTCTTTTCTCCTGGGCTGTCACCATCTTCAGGCCTTTTATTCTCTTCAATTATCTTGACTTTGTATCTACAGAACTAAAATCTCTTAAGATTGTCTCGTTGGTGCAATTGTACATGTGCCTGAAACCACAAATAAGTGCATGTGGATCCCTTCCCACTGTGTTCCTTTAGTGATAGCCTCCACCTCTTTTCAACATCAGGGGTTTTGTCTGAGTTTGCATTTTATAAAAATGGAAGCACCCATTACGTGTGTGTCTGTCTCTGTCTGTGTGTGTACACACGTGTGTGTATGTGTGTTATCTGTGTGCTAAGGATAACTGTTGCTACACACTGTCCATAAGATTCATGTACCACAATTTTTGTATCTTCTAGCTGTTGGGTTGTTCCTAATTTTTGGTTGTTGAATAATGCTATTCTGAGCATTTTTTGATGTCTTTAATATGAAATATATCCCTATGAATGAGCCTGCTGAGTAAGAGGCATACGTGTACCCAGTTTTAATAGATGATGATAAACAGCTTCCTACTTCAGTTATGCTAATCCACACTCTCATTAGGAGTGTGTATTTATTGTAATAACTTCATTAAACATTCTTTTATGTATCATATAATGATAGGACAAAATATATTTCCTTTCTAATCCACAAAACTTTTATAGATTCTTTTAAATGTATAATTTAACATCAGTCATATTAATTGTACAGAGGGCTTTCAGTATGACGTTGACACATGAGCTTACAATGGCAAGTCTCATTTTATTTACCAGTATATTACAGTTTTATTCAGAAAGTTATTGCCTTAGTCAATGTTCTATTGCCATGAAGAGACTGTGACCACAGTAGCTCTTACAATGGAAAACACTTAACCGAGGCTGGCTCACGGTTCATAGGTTTAGTCCATTGTCTTAGCAGGAAGTGTGGCAACATGCAGGCAGACACGGTGGCTGAGGGTTCTACATGCAGATCAGCAGGCAGCAGGAGGACAGACAGACACTGGGACTGGCTTGAGCATTTGAAACCTCAAAGCCCACCCCTAGTGACATACTTCCTCCAAGGCCACACCCACTCCCACACCTAAGCCACATCTGTCAAGTATCTCCATTCCCCTAATGACCAAGCATTCAAATATATGAACCTCTGGGGGCCATTTCTATTCAAATCACCACAGTTACAGTCTATGCCTAATGCTTAAGATGCTTCCCTATGAAGATTCCAATGATTCACCTCACATTAAAGCTTTAGTTTAATTTTTGGACTGATAAGAAGTAAGGATCCAGTTTTGGTCTTCTACATGTGGATGTCCGGCTTTCCCTAGCATCACTTGCTAAAGAAGTTTTTTTTTTTTTTTTTTGACATTGTATGTTTTCGGTATCTTTTTCTAGGATGAAGTGATTAGAGCCATTTGAGTTAAACTCTGTGTCTTCTACTCCAGTGTGTTTGTTCTAATGCTGCGCTATTTTTGTTACTATGGATCTGTAGTTTGAAATAAGTGCAATGATGGCACCAGTATTGGTCTTTTTGCTTAGGATTGCTTTGGCTGATTTCATAGGTCTTTGTGTTTCCTATGAATTTTAG